TCTTCGGATGCTTGGGTTGTAGCCCACGAAAGCTTATGCTCTAATAAATTTGTTAGTCTCTAAGGTGCCACAAGTACTCCTGTTCTTTTTGAGGATACAGACTAACACGGCTGCTACCCTGAAACCTGTCATTGTTAAAAATGAAAACTTTATTTAATACTTTACATTTCAAACGCTTTAACTGATTTTTCTTCTTTTTCTAGCTCTAATAAAAAGTTTAAAATATTAATGGTGCTTGTTACAATGGAAGTGGCCATCAGTACCTTGACACAAAAGCCTGGATCATACATAACTGCTTAATGTTGTAACAGTGAGGAAGGGTTTCATTAAAATGTTATACTTTGCTGGTCCCTAGACACCGACACCCCCTTGTCAAAACAACAGACCATCTCCCTTCTCATTCACGATCATGCAAGATCACTGTTGCAGCTCCCTACAGCCAAGGCCAGATTTCCAATTAGGCACATGCCTGGAGCACCGGCATCCTATGGGCACCTAAAAGTTAAAAGTGGGTTAGAAGTTTCATTTTTTACTGAATACAGGAAGGTCAATTGTGGACAGGGGGGTGCTGAAGATGCTGTGCCTAGGACGCGTAAACTGTAAATCCGGCCCTGCCTACAGCCATTGCTTATTTTATAGAAGGTGACAGGAACATTTTTAATATGGTTTTGGCTTTTATTGGAATTTAGAAGCTAGAAATAAGGAGTAGCAAGTTGCATCATAAAACCATTCAGCTCTCCAGCATATGATCTGGTGGCCGCCACCACCAGCAGTGTGTGGACTAAGTTTCGGAAATCTAGGGAAGAGTATTAAAACTGTGACAAGAAAAATAAAATAGTCCCAGGGTCCGGTGGGGCCTTTAGATTACAATATATTAAATACTGACTGTCAGGGCCACATTCTCCCCTACAGCAGGATGTGAATAGCTTCCCCTGAACTCAGTAGGAGTTAGCTCGATCCTGCAGGGAAGGGCTCTGGGGCTTTGTCTTTAATTCTGTGTTCCTACGGGCAGTGCTGGAATATAAAAATTCAGCCTCCCTCCACTCGCACTCACGCCGCCGCTCAGCCTCACGTACACAGCCCCAGCCACCTCCCTCTCCTCAGCCAGACGCACGCCCAGGCTGGGTCCTCCCGCCCGCAGACACGTGCTGCCTCCGCTCTGCCTCACGCAGCCAGCCAGCCCCACGGGTCCCAGCCCCACGCCCTTCCCCACCCCGTGCTAGCGCTCGCCGCCTCCCCCAGACCCCGTGACCGCACAGACCCGCCCTGCCAGGCGGCCGCGGCGGGCATTGTGCGGCGGAGCGGCGCGCTGGGGCTCGCCCCCCGCCCGGGCAGAAGCGGCGGCGCTGTGGGCCAGGCTGCCCCCGGGAGCAGGGGGCGCTGGTGTCGGAGAGGAATGGGCTCCATGGCGGGGCTGCTGCTGCCCGGAGACTGCGGGTGCGATGGGGACGCGGAAGCTGCGGGAGCCCGGCACAGACACCGGCAGCCAGAGGAGCGGGTCAGTTTCACCTTCCCCGCCTCGGGGACAGGGCAGCCGCGCCCAAAAGCAACAGGCACCAGCTGCTAACAAAGACAGCAGCCGCTGGTCTTTTTCCCCAGCCCCATGGCTGTGCCCGGGGCGGGGGG